GGCCGGATGCATACGTACTCATCCTGGAACCTTACCTCGTGGTTTAGCAGAGCTGCCTCTGCTTGTCACTGTGCTGCTGCCGTTTCATTTACGGTTCTTTTATTGACCCACAGTGCAAGAGAGGGGCTGGGCTCACATCTCCATCACTTCGTATGTCCTGAGATCACTCCCAGCTCTGCTCCACTCCCCGTGCCATGACACCCAGCCGGGGTCCAGGAATCTATGCGACTGCTAGGCTTCAGCTGGCACATACTGGTCACAGCCCACCTTCTCTCTGCAGCCCTGACATCCTTCTTAGGATCCTGTTTCCTACGGGAGCAGGTGCATGACTCAGGGCAGGTCCTTCAGTCCCCAGCCAGTCTGAGCTACTCTTTATCTGAATGGAAAAGCCACCTGAGGCCTGGAAGGCTTTTCCTTACACATGTGGCTCTGTGTGTGTGGCCCCTTAATGGGGCTCTTGAGTCATTATAAGAAGGGGCACACATTGAGGGCTGGGGTCTCACCATTGTCTGGGAGAACCTGGAAAGGAATCCACTCCTAATCTCGACTCCCATCCTTGGCCAACCCCATTCTCTTCTTCCAGGGCAAGTGTATCCATGGAAGGCATCAGGAGAGGAAAGGCAGTGAGCCAACAGCCAGGGGCGGAGCCCAGGGGCCAGAGCACCTGCTTGTGCTGCCCTGCAGGTGCTGTGTCTTTCTGAAGACAAGGGGCTTTCTGTGTCTCACTTCATGCAGTGTCGCTGTCTCAGAAATAGGCACCCAGCACATGACTGCCCTGGCCAGCACAGGTGCAGGTAGCAGAAAGCTAAGACATAGACTCTGCTGTACCTGGGGCCACCACCGGGCACCTTCTGCTGGGTGCTTTTAAAATGCAATCTCATCTACTCTCCGTAAAAGCTTTCTGTGGTATACACTCTCCCCATTTTATAGACGAGAAAATAAAGCTCAGTTGGGCTTGTAAGTAAAGCTCAGAGGGACCTAGGCTAGGGACCCTCTCGACATTCTCTCTGGCCTGGGCCTGACAAAGCGCCAAGCCTTAAAAACAGCAAAAACAAAAATTCCACCAAGGGATCTGGCAGCCTTAAAATAAAGTCTGTTCTGGGAGTCCTTTGACACCTCCCTTCGTTAGCGCTCCCTCATCACCCGCCCTCCCATTCCTTCATTTCCACCTCTGGCAGGGAAGCCACACGCCTGAAGCAGGACTTCCCTGCTCAGCTGTGTTGCAATGATACTGTCCAGGCAGATGTGTGTGTATTGGGGGGGAGGTGTTTGTTTGCCCCCGGTAAGGGGCATTTCTTGAATGCGCCCATTCAGACTTCCTACCATGTATTTCAGACAGTCTAAGACTGAGTAAGATTGTACGATCCTGATGATCTCAGGTACACTGAACATGCGTGTGGTGCACTTTTTTCAAGCACTCACCTTGCTCTGCCTGCATTACTAACGATGCTTAGAGTTTGCAAAGACCTGGGATCGGGAGAGTCTGCAAGAATGGGCACAGACCAGGGCTTCCCAACCTCAGCACTACTGACACTTCTGGCTGGATAACTTCTTGTTGTGGGAGGACATCTAGCCGTAACCCTGACTTCTTCTCCTACCCGCCTGTGGCATTGCTCCCCTGCCTGGGACAACCTCAAATGCCTCCAGGCATCGTCAAAGTCCCCTGGAAGCAACCTCATGCCCCGTGAAGACCTCACAGAATCTGCTCCTGCGCAAGGCTGGTCTATATAACTGCAACTTCAGGCACCACCTTCCTCGCCTCCTTCAGGGAACATGCAAACTCTTCCTAAGCCCCACAGCCTCGGGAACCACGTCACAGAGCTGGTGCCACCTGGCCTGGGAAGTGGGTGGAAAGTGAGGGATAGCGGAGCAGCAGGTGGAACAGAAGCAGCAAGAAAAGACAATGGAAAAGCTTTGAGAAATACGAAAGGTTTATTTAGCAAAAGCCACTAGACTAGTGACAACATCCAGGGATTAAGTGCACTTACATTAACAGAATCTTTTCCCAGAGAGTTGCTCCGACAGAGTTAATGACACAACAGTTTTAGGAAGTTGAGGGCTAGGGAGGTAAGGGGGTAGGAAGAAGCAGTCAAGCAAAGAGTAAATAAAAGGAATACAACTCCTAAACAGGATCAGTTGAGAGAAGTGAGGCTAGGAAGAGGCTTTACAGATAGCACTGATACAAGCGGGACTAGGAGGAACCTCATTTTCAATCCCAACAGGTGGTCCTTCTCATGCGGAGAGAGTCTTTCCCGGCTCCACAACTGTGAGAGCCTCGCGCTGTACCTGGGGCAGCCACCAGTAAGGTGGGGACCCCGCTGTCCACTTGTCCTCCATATAGGGCAGAGTAGAGGATGAAAAAGAAGGAGGCAGAGTTGAGTTAGCAGAGCCAGAAGCAAGGAGGGAGGACAGGGTGCCATCGCTGGGGAACCAGGTCTGCAAAGTTCCCTTTCCTGCCAAGTTGACCCTTGAGGGAAGGCTGGAGGGTTGGGGGCTGGTGACCTTTGAAGGCCCCTGGATCCGATCTTGGTTTCCCATCCCCACTCGCTGAGTGTGCGCTGATGTGAGTCACACTAAGGAGGCTGCCAACACACGAGTGAGTGCTCCAGGGCAGGCCTGAGTCGGGAAAAGGTAGGTGAGGCAGGCCAAGGCCACCATGGAACACCCGGAGGGCAGAAAAGTCTGGATGGTGGCCCAAGTCAGTGTCACACATAACTGGTCTCTCCAGTATTTTAACCTCTCTTCTGTTTCTTCATCCTCGCCTTTGCAAGGTTTTCAAGACCATTTTAGGAATTACCTGCCCCACCCACTACACCGCCGCCTGCCATCCACATTCCAGGCACCTCATCCTGCAGCCTCTGGCTTTATCTCCTCAGCTCCTGCTTGGTCGCTCAAAATCCTAGTGGTCTACAAGGTCCCAGACTCAAGGAATCCCAGGTTGGAATTTCCCAAGCTGGCCAGGTGTAGCCAAACTGGATCCCTGGCCATTGCTCCTTCAGTTTCACAGATCTCCCGTTCCTGGTTCTTCCTTCCCTATGTATCTGGACCTACTTCCAATGGTTCATGAGAAAATACAGCCAACAGAGCCACACCGCTCCAACTAAATGCTGTTAGGAAAAGGACTCCAAATCTATTGCTGATTCTGATCCCCTGGATGTCCCATTTCTCTTCTCTCCAGTCACTTCTCACAAGCCCACACACATACCTACCTTTTCTCACATGTGTGTACACACACACACACACACACACTCACAACCACCCCATCCTACTTGCGTGCACCACATAGGGCTAACATACAGCTGCCTGTATTCCCTTGAATTTGGACTTTCTGGTCTAGAAGAAATCCGACTCAAGCTATAAGAAAGGGGCTACACTCTCATTCATGTAGGCTCTAAAGCAAAGGTAGGGCTGCAGAGCTCCACTCTGGGGCAACCAGAACCTTGCTGATCCCGCTCTGGAATCAGCGCATCCCGGGTCTGTAGCAGGTGGTCCAGGATCAAGACTCACTTCCCCAAACATAAGGCTCTAGCGTCGGTCTCAGCTCTCTCCCCAGGCATTTGCAAATCCGGTAGCAGCCACTTCCAGTCTTACAGGAGCGAAAGAAACTTTCCCTTGCAGCTCCAGCCAGCCTGCTCGCGAGGGCTGATCCCCCCCGCAAGGCCTGGATGGAAAACGATAAAAGAATTGCACGTGGCACTTTTTACAGGTGTGCTCGAGGCACGCACCCACAGAGAGACGGGCTGGGCTGGCTGTGGTCCCTGACGTAAGCGGCAGTGATTCTGAAGAGCACACGCGAGTCTCAGCTGTCAGCCTGCATCCGTGCATTGTTTTTGCTTTCGCTTTCTTGCAATACAAGCTGCCCGGTGCCGCCCAGTGGAGAGGCTAGGCTGAGAGGTAAGGCTAGGGGGCCCTGTGTCCGAGGTGGTTGCCGAGGCAGAGTACTACAAGGGCTTCAGCTGGCACAGCCCCGAGGCAGGACACAGGGTGTGGGGGTGACAAGGGCACTTCCCGGCCTCTGTACTGAGGAACCGGGCTCCAGGCAGGGCTTCCTGCCTGAAGATCCAGACCTCAGTGACTTGTGGCAGCCAGCCGGCTGTCCTCCCTCTGAAGCAACGCCCCACATTCAGCTGCAGGAAAGGTTGGATCCGTCCTCTAAGAGCCCATCCACTGGGACACATCCTGATTCCACGGTCACGCCAAAAGCAGTGGCCTGGCTTTTGCAGCCCGGGTCATTGGCCCTCCACGGTCTGAGCAAGGGCTGGAGAAGGCCTTCCTCCCAGAAAGGTTAGGCGACCCAGAACATCCTGATGTCCAGAACCGAAGTACCTGAGAAGGGACTGATGGCTTCCCTTCCAGTGGGGACCACGGAGATGGGGAGAGGTAGGGGCCACTGAGCATCACACGACAGAACAGAGCAGCCTTATAACGCAGCAGCGAGGTGGGGCAGCTCTTCCCGCATCCCGGTGGTCCGAGGAAGCGCCCCATCCAAAGCCATGGGCTTGGGCAGGCATGCCCCCCTCTCCCCTTTTAGTCCCAAGTGGAAGAGAGGAGATGATTTCCCCGCTCTGGGAAGCCGATGTCTTCCCCAGTTTGCCCGCTATAGAGCAAAACCCCAAAGCCTTTCCTGGGCCCTAACACTCTTCCGGGCAGGGCACATCGACTGGCCACCCCCTCCTACCCCGGCAGCAGCGAGCCCCGGGCCCTGCCCAGCAAGGCCGCCGCCTCCTCCTCCGCCGGCTCGGCGCCCGCCTCCTACACGGCGATCTCATCGTCCAGGCTGTCGCCCAGCTCCTGCCGAGGCAGGACGTTCAGCAGGCGCGGCAGCTCTTCCTGGGACCACGAGTCGCGCTCCTCGCTGTCGTCCGTGGTGGACTCGTATTCCGAGGCGATGCCCGACTCGCGGAACTGGAGGAGCTCCAGGCCGCCCAGCAGCGGCTGCCCGTGCGCCGGTGGCGGGAGGAAGCGGAAGCACTCGAGCTTCACCAAGCAGTCGCGCCTACCTAGGGGGCTGCCCGTCGGTGGCGCCAAGTCGGCCAGGCCCGCGCCCGGAGGCGGCGAGTGCAGGTCCTCGGGCTTAGGGGTCGTGGGGTCGCAGAGCACAGGCAGGGCCCCGGAGCGGAAGGTGATCTCCAGCAAGCTGTCCTGGGAGCCCACTGGCGGGAGACAAGAGGCGGAGAGGGCGCTGTCAGGCATGGCTGTGGATTTGGGAAGCCCCCTTCTGACCGGCCCCGCCCTGCAAGGGTCCTTCCCTCGCAAGGGGCTGGTTGCTTGGCTTTAGCCCGGGCAAGCTTCCCTGCTTCCCCCTTCCTCCCTACCCGCCACAGCACCAGACACACCTGGCTGGAGGGCGTGAGAACCACGTGCTGATTTAGGGAGGGCACTGGATGCCCCTGAGCAGGCTTTTGTGGTAGGAAAGGGTTCTAACAGTGAGAGGCATATTAAAGGCACGGGGTTCCCTGAGTGTAGTCTTGTGCATCAGCATTCATGGGGACCATGCAGGATCTCAACAAGGTCTGGAAAATCCAGAGGCGATTCCCAGCCCATACTTTTGGGTCACCCTTTAAGCACAAGACCCCTCAGCCCTGCCCCATACCTACATTACAGATGCGAGAATCTCCGTGGGTTGGATTTGCTAAGACACATTTTTAAAATGTTCATGGGATAGTTTGGGGGCAACTTCTGGTATAACAGGAAAAACAATTTTGCAGTTGGGTGTAGGTTGGCATCTGGGCTCCATCCCTTGCTAGACCTGTAACCTTGAGCTGGTGACTTAACCTCTCTGAATCTCTAGAATGAGCACAACATCATCTGCTGTGCCAGGGATTAAAGGAGTTCAGACACAAACAAAGAAATCCCATCATGGCTTCTGTCACAATAGGTGATCAGTGGCTGTGTGGTTGATGCACAGCCATGCACTACACACTCTGAGTGTGCCCACAACCCATAGGTCAGCTCTGGAAGAAGGTGTGTGGATGTGCACTGGGTGTTCCGCTGCCTCCCAGCCCCTCCTGGAGCTGGTGTGGGGGGGAAGGCAGCATCTCAGGCCCGGAACCACACAGCCTCTGCCACTGCCCAGCAGAGCGGCTGGCCTGCTTACTCTGCTGTCATAACCACACACTGCATGTACTGTTACTGGCTTTTCTGTGAAACAGGGCTGTGGGATAGACAAGAGGTCTTCAAAAACTTCACAGAAGACAGATGAAAAGAAAGGTTTATATTGGTGTAAACATTTTTATAAGGCACTTTCCATGAATTTTTTTTGAAGACCTCTCATATAGCATAAGGAGTCAACTATGAAACAGTTTGAGATCTCCCACACAGAGAACATGACAGACACCATGTTTGGGATTGAAAAAGCCCTTTGAGAAACAACTGCCTTAGGCTGCAGGGTGCCTGAGCCCCCATCACGTCCAGACTGGATAAGCAGCAGGCAGTGTCTCCCGGGGACATCCTAGCTCAAGTCTGGGCACTGGCTGAGAAGGCAGCCATGGTCTCCTCTAATGCATGCAGTATACAAACAGGACCAATAAAGCTGCCTCTGTTTCCTGCTGGAATGCAAGGGCAAGGCCAGGGTCCCACGAAGCACCACAGGGAGGCGGGGCTGGGCAGGGCAGGGCACGGGCTTACTGGCGTTCTGTCCTGACAGCTTCAGCTCCAGCTCCTGCACCTGCTTCACCAGCAGGGAGATGTGTTGCAGCATGTCCTTGTTCTGCAGCAGGAGCTGGTGCACGCGGGCCTGGGCCTCCAGCCGTGCCGCCGCCTCAGCAGCCAACTGGTCCTTCAGCAGGTGAACCTGTGGGCAGGAGGAGGCAGAAGAGGCAGAGGACAGGACGGAGAGAAGAGAGGGGTGTGAATGCAAATGAGTCACTGGTGGAACGCAGGGGCCAGGGATGCCCTCCATATCCAATTCCAAAGGAAGAAGCCCTTGTGGGCAGAATGGACATCTTGGGCTTATAATTTGGGAGGAGGAGGAACCAAAAGAAGCTGGGTCACTGGCCCTGTGGATGTCCCTGTAGGTACCAAGGGGAGGTCAGGATGTGTCACTCGGGGTCCCACACCAAGGGCGAAAGGCAGGAAAGCGCCATCCTGCTCCCGAGTCCCCTACCCCCTACCCCCCGTCCCTGCTGCCAGAACTCCTCCAGCACCTGCCGGAGCACTGCCGGGCTGACAGAGGTGCCCTTTCTTCATTCTGTCTTTTGACAAACGCAAACAGGAGTGGTTGTATTGACTTGCTAGTTAGGAACAGTGTCACAACAAACTCTCATATAATCCTTCCTCCCCCTTCCCGTGCCCATACTGAGAAGTCAGAAGCAGCACACTTGACATTTCTAAAGGAGAGGGGGTGGCTGTAATGAAATTTGTCATTTTATGTCTCTGGATGTCAGCTCCCTCCCACCCCCGAGTTGTCTGCTCCCTTTCTATTTTCTGCGGCGGGCACCTAGGACCCTGATGCACACCTGATAGGGGTCAAATGCTTGCTGACCGACTTGTAACTGGGGCTCCCTCAGAAGGGCTGAGGTGAACAGGTGCAGCACCTCATCACCCCACACCCCGAGAGAGCAGCTGGCCTCTGCCCACTCACCCTGCCCTTGGTGTGTATCTTTGTGTGGAAGTACAAATTCTCTGGGAGAGGACGCAGGGGCAGTTACATTAGGACTCTGGCCGGAAGAGATGGAGTCTCAAGGCCACTAGCGATGCGGACACATACGTGGGTGTGGTGCTAAAATGCAGACAGAGGAATCTCCAGGGAGAGGCCCAGAAGGCCCCTGAAGAAAGGGAAGTCATGCAGGGGGCAGCTGACGGAAAGAGGGCTTTCTGCAGGCAAAAAAGATGGTGTGGACAAAGACATGGAGTCAGGTTGACGGGGCGGGGCAGCAAAGGTGGGGCACGGATTGAGGAGAAAGAAGGGCAGTTGGAGGCGTGAGCCGATTCTCCTGTTCAGAAAACAAACACTCTAGATTTCTGAAAAGCAGCTTTTCGCCCACGGAGATCCACATGTTGTTGAGGACAGAAAGACCATATGCACCCCCCAGTCTGGCCCAGTCAGACCAAGGGACCCGCCAGCCCAGGGTGTGCCCCTCTCGGGGGCCAGCACGTGGAATGACACTCCTGGGTCCCGTGTTTGCTTCCCTCTCTGCCCACATTTGAGGATCTGACCTTGCAGTTGGCTCTGTTTCTACCACTAATGAGATTAGCTGCCACTTTCCATTAGTGGCTCCCCAGGGTTGGATCCATCCTGCCCCCAGGGGAACGGCGCCTGAAATAAGCAAAGTGCATCTGTCCTCCATAAAGCACGGCCAGGGCGGAACTGATCCCGCCGTGCCGCGGTGGCCTCCTCCCCTACTGCCTCTCACACAGGTCTTCATGGAAAATGCAGATGACAGAAACACTGTGCGTAGATTTTAAAAATCTTTTGCGTTAAAATAAGCATCTTTTAATTCCACTTTTCCATGAAGTGTTTAAAATCCTCTCATATAAACTGTCTGGAGAGGGGGGTGAGAACGGGGACAGAAACGTCAAAAAATGTCACCGGATATTAGCTAGTGGGTGGCTTCGAAGGATTTATTTTCTTTGGAGACTAAGACATGGAGAAATTCCACCTGAGACTCCCACAATTCTGCAGTTCTGTGGTCCTGAGAATCAAGTGCAGTTGTGGCGGGAGTTCCCCAAAGTGCCCCCAGAAGAAGGGCTAAGGTAACCTTCTACCTGCAGGTAGAAGTGATACTAAGAGTATCACTGAAAGGAGTCTACTGAGCAGGTAGAATTGTTAATTAGACACTTTGTATTTTCTTTGGAACCAAACAGAAGTGCCAGCAGAATTACGCAACAAAGTGTTCCAGTGGCTGTGGCAGAGAAGGCAGAGAATTCAGCACACTGCTAACTGGCATCCAGGGAAGGCTCTGCACACTCGCTCCAGCTCAGATGCCTGCATCCCCACATGAGTATCCCAAGAGACTAGGGCATCTGAAAGCACCAGACCAGGAGCTGGAATGCTGGTCTCTGTTGGTTACTCCCTAGGCAACTACAGGTAACTCATTCGTCTGTACCTGCCAACTGACAGGGCTGGCAAGGGGCTCAGATGATTGATGATTCCACAGACAGGTGGACAGTGGTCAGTATTAGGGGCCATTTGCCAAAGGCACACTGGGGGAAAAATACCCCAGTTTTCCATTGCTAAGTTTGGGAATTAGGATTGAAGACAAAAGCAGCAGCCAGGAGGGAAAAAGGTCAGAAGCTTGTGTTGCAGGCATGCAAGTTCTCCAAGTGAAATACCCTCACTATCATAAAAGACGACCCTTGAATCAAATGCTGCTGTTGCAGATCCAGTGGCCTAAGTGTTGTGAGGAACACCCCTGGTATCAGGTTAAATAAGAATTTTATCTCTGCAAATGCAGAGGTATACCACTGCAAGTGTTTTCAAATCCTGTGAATGTGAAAGCCCACACGGCTGCCGCTGCCCCAAGCTAGCACGAATGCGCCTTCCCTTCTGCTTCTGCAGCTGTCAAAAGTGACACCAGGTGTTAAGGCTCACAACTGCACAACGAGACATGCGCTGCTGCAGGAGAACTCGAACCAGGCCAGATTGCAATGAAACGGCCTGGACTTCTTTTAACTTTGAGGCAAAGTGTTTTGTCTATGTAGACTTGGACCTGAAGCATTGAATCAAGGCAGTGTGACTTCCAGCCTGGTTTGAGCAGCATGGCACAGGTCTCTGTGCCTTGTTCTTTGTTCATACAATGGGAGCCGACAGCACCACCTTCTCCCCGGCAGATGGGATGTTTGTGTGTAGCATACTTTCCTTTCAAAGAATTAAACACTTTTTATAAAGGAAGCATATATTAATTTCTGGAAAGGAAGACGTTAGTTTCTTTTGTCCAGAGCTGTGCTATCTTTGGTAATAACTGTTATGGTCATAGACTAAGTCATTGTCGTGGCACAAGGGCCATGGTTAGAGTGCTAGCACTCAGATGCCTGGCTCTGTGTCCTGACCACAGCACCACAGCATAAGGTCAACACCGTCTCCAGCACTATGCCGCTTCCCAACACACCAACACCCACCTTCAGCCCACCCAGCGATACCAGACCATTGACCCACGGGCTCTCCAGCCTACTTGCCTGGACTCCAGCTCCTCCATCAGAAGTAGGGGCAGGGCCAGGCTGAAGTTAGGGAGCAGCAGGCACATGGAAATGGCAGTGGAGAGAACCAGAGCAATTTGCCCCCCACCACACACGGGACACACAAGCAGAGGCAGGTGGCGCTGTCTCAGCATGCATGTGGCAGGGCCTTGGGCAGTGCAGGCCAGGGTGCTGGGCACAGGGAGGAGCCATGAGAACGGATGCCAAACTCAAGGCCTGGGGTGGGAATGCAGAGCGTTTTTAGTGCCGTTCCTCTAACTATAGCACACACGATTGCGAAGCATAAATAACCAATTACTTGCTCCTGAACAAGTGGATGTGACAGCAGGTAGGGAGAAGACTTTAAATAGCAATCCTGGGCTGCACTAACATTTTCCCCACCAACGAGGCCAGCAATTGGCAAACTGTGAAGGGATCTGGCCTACTCAGCTGTTGCCAGTCAGTCACAGTGCCCAGATCAATTCTGGAGCTACACAGGCCTTGGCCATGCAGGTGCCAGATACATCCCTGCTTGGATGTAAGGTTTGGCTACACCCTTGTTCACATCCTTGAGTCTTGGGTCCATCTAAAAGCAGGAAGCTAGTGCAGCCAGGCAAGCCTCATGCTGGGTCAGGAGAGTGGGCAGAGGGACTTGGGTATCCATTATTTACACACTGCGGTCTACCCTGGAGGTACTTAAGAACTGGGGGAACGTCACCTTCCAGGTACTTGGAAGGACAGGGCAGGCCCTTTCTAGACTCATCTGGGGTGAGGCTGGAAGAACCTGTGAGGATCTGGACCAGTTCAGAACATAGTGAAGGAGACAAAGCCTGGTCCCAGTGGCAACAGGAGAACCAGATGAGCTTGTGAGAGGAAATGAGGGAGGAATGACATAAATAACGCAACAAGTGACTCCAAGAGGATGCCTGTCAGCAAGAAGATATGTCTTCATGTTGAGATTTTTATCCAGGAGCAATATAAGAGGACTTGGATGCTCACCGAGAAAAGGCAAACGTGTTCCCACCTGACATGCTTGAGATCACAGTTTTACTCATTAGAATTCTGGAGATTGCTGGTATTTTAATGCAGAAAGACAGGAATCTCGCAGTTTGGTAGCAATGGCATATGACAGAACAAGTTAAAGCTGACCTCGTGCTAGAAGCTGAGGTCAGCCCTACCTGTGCAGAGAAACCAAGCCTGCTCTATTTGGTCTATCTCAGATGTTCCAAAGACACCAAGCAGACCAGTCCATCAGTGCATCTTACACGACTGCTCTTATCCAAGGATACAGACACCAGTAGAAAGCCCTTGTATCAAATGTTATGAAGAGAGTGGAGGAACCGGGGATGATAACACAGAGAAACCTCCAACTGAAGGCTGCTTTTAGGACTGAACCCTTCTGCAAGATCAGGGAGCCCAAAGTAAACTAAGAACAACAATGCCTCTGGCTGCATTCCTGGGCAGCAAAAAAGCAAGTTGCAAAGAGAAGGAAGGTGGGCAGAGACTGACTAAAGAGGATGACAGAGAGGGGTAGAAAAATATGTTCAAGGAGCTATCAGATGACCCCAAGGTCCTAACTGATGACCCTTGAAGCTCTTACTCCACTCAGAGTGATCCCACCACAGGGAGGCACCGCAGCGGCCTCTCTTCCAGCCGTGCTTCCGCTGAGTCAGGCTCAGCACTATTCAGCAAACTCCAAATGACTTGGAAGTGGCCGGGACAGGGAGTGACTCAAGAAATGGTTCGCAAACATCACATTCTTCCCCTTGCTGCAGAGTCAGTGCCTTGCAGCACTGGGGCAGTTAACACTGGACAGGGCAGAGACATCATGTTGAGACAGATGCTTCACTCCGAACCAGAAAGCTACTGCACAGCTTTCATCCTGACCGTGATGGACTCTGTGACAAGGGACAGGTCTTGTTGCTTTGGAGACTGAGTGCTTCCTTCAATGCCACAACACTCTTGTTGTGTAGATGAAACATTTGCAAATAGTTTCTCTTTAGTCCTTAGCACAGACTTCAAATTCAAATGCCTCTCTGACAATACAGTATCATGAATATGCATCAAGCCTACTCCCAGATAAATAATAATTACTTGGCAATTGATATGCTGAAAGAGAGAAAGTATTATAGTAGGAGAATGGATTTGTATGCAGTGGGAAACTTTCAGGAATGAGATGTCTCTCATATGAGGACCCTGTGTGGAGTGCCAGGGCTTTGTGCTCCTGTCAGCCATCACGCCAGGGAGGAGGGGATTCCTGGTCTGCCACACCGTCATTAACCACAGGAGATGAATTCTTTCATTTGACAAAGAGGGATGATTTTCTTCTCCAAATGTAAGAGGCCATTAATGACATCTGTCCTGTCTGTGGCTCCTTTGGAAACACCGGCAAATCCGCTTAGCACCACCACACTGCCTTTTGTCTCGTGGTTAGAATTTCTGAAATGGTTCCAGTAACTCGGGAACAGTGCCCCACTGATCCTACTCTCCCCAAACCTGGCTGTGAGAATCATCTCAGGACCAGGTCTGTGGAAACTGTGTTACGAGAAGATCTTTCCAGACCTAGTCAGGGCAGACCCTGTGAGGCTGCTCAGTGCTTCCTCCAGGTACACTCAGTGGAAACCATGGCCCTGTCTGGTGATTCACTGCACCCAAAGCCCAGAGGAGACACGGGAGACAATGCAGATCAGTAGATGGTACCCAGAGAAGTCTGCTCCCTGCCACTCCAGAACAAGGGAAACCCAAGCAGTCCGTCTGGGTGAGCAGATGCACACAGCTGCCTTTCCAGGATCTCTGGCCAAACTCTCCAAACCCTGTGCATCTCATTGCCTTCATTCACTCACTCAGACCCTGACCCTGTCTGACTTGGACTCAAGATCATATGAACAGACGTGTCTTCAGCATCCCCTGAATGCTCATGATAAGAGAAAAAGCTCAGATCCAAAAGTTCCAAGAAGATGTAGACTAGCATGCCCTGCACACAATGCAAGCAGGAGGAATGCCTGCTTAGAGTGGTGAGGAACGTCCACTCCCCTCTCCCCTACAAAGTGACAGTGGTCCACAAGCCTTGGGCATACAAACACCACCTCAAACCTGAGATCTAGGCCAATTCCTCTCATTTTGGCTCAAACAACATACCTACATTCCTCTAAGCTAAATCTCAGGATAATGAATTCCAAGGTCAATATTATATAAAATACTGCTTGGAATGAGTACATCCCTAATGGAGACTTGGAAACCTGTTATGGACAAGGATGCTGAGATGCCAGGGCAGTGGCTCGACAAGGGCATTTGGCGCAAATTCATGCTTAAAGATGTTTTAAGACTGGCATCCCAAATCACACCTGTCCTGGCTCCAAAGGAATCTCCCTCCCACCCCAAACACCAGGAGAAGAAGGCAGGAAAGGAAGGGTGGGATTGTGTGCATTTTTCCTTGCTAAGTTCAGGTCATGATCCAACAATATCCAGCCAAGCCAGCCAAGCCCAGCTCAGAGCGAGGGATACATGGGAAACCAAAATGTTGTCTTTCCATTTCAACGGCATCCCCCATCTCTCCCCTCCCCCTCCCCCACTCCCCAACAAGCAATGACCCCACAGCATGAGCGATTCCTTACGGCTCCCTAGGTGTTAAACCTGCCCTGAGCCCCTCGCCAGGGAAGGCGCGTCAAGCCCATGAGAGTGGAGCCTGCGAAGTAGGGAGGAGGCTGAGGAGAACCTGGGCCACAGCCACTTGCGTCTGCTGCTGTTGCTGCTGGAGGAGCTGCTGGAGAAGCTGCATCTGGTGGTGGGTGGACAGCGGCGTCCCTGTGCCCAGGCCCGGGGGCTTCGAGGAGGTCGAGGGGAGCAGCATCCGGGGCGAGGCGGTCAGGGCGGGCTCCTGGGGCTGGGAGGAAGCCTGGAGGAGAAGACAGGGCATGACATGGGGTAGCAGTCGCCTCTAGAGGCCTCATTCTCTTTGTTGTGGATGTGGGGCACGCAGAGTTGGAGTGAAATGGCCCACCCACAACCTACGCTGCATCTTCCACGCAAACGTGAATGGGGCTCCAGGGAGGAAGCCGTGTGACCGCCCAGGCTGGGGCCACGTGGTGAGAAATCTCATTTGGACATCTCTATGGCTGCAGTGGGTGGGAAACAAAGCAGCAGAGACTGTCCCATCTCTTGCCCACCACTTCCAATTATATCCCACTGTTGAGTTACTTGAGGATCTAGACTTAGATTCTGTTTCTATAAAACACAGCTGTGCACCCCTCTGCGATGAGAATGAGAAGGAAGCAGCTTCAATCCTTTATGTTGCTGTGTCCTTAAGGTTCCCTCCTCCAGGGTTGGTGATGTTTCTCCTTGAGCCAGGCCCTGGAGGAAGAGGCCAGGTGAGGTGAGCTAATTCCAGCCCACTGTTGCCTTGGCTCCCAGTGAAAGAAAGAAGCTAAGACACAAAAACACACAGTGATCTGGAGGGAGCCTGTGGTGGATGAGAACACAGCCTGTCCCACGCCTGCCTGTCCTTTTCCTGTGGGATGCTTACTAAGACAGCATTTGCGAGCCACAGAATTCGAGGGCAGGGGAAGACGTTCTGTCTCTGGGAGTTCTGTGGCTGGTCCATTTTCAGATCAGCAAGAAGAAGGCAGCTAGCGCTGGAGGGCTGTCACCACTTGGAGAGGACAACGTGGACAGCAGTGGAAACGTGGGCCAGAGAGTCTGGGACTATACTGTCCCCCTTCTGGTGAACAAATGGGCCTGTTGCCCTGCACCTGAGATAATCAGATGCACACCAAGGAGGAGGGGCATCTGGGACAAGGTCAATGAATGGGCTGGGAATCTAAGGATGGGGCCACTGGCGGTTATTTTTCTTCTGGGTTTTATTTAAAATTTAGCTTTGCCTTCTGATTGGAATTTGGTCTCAATTTCTTAGTGTTTTTTTTTTTGTTGTTGTTGTTGTTGTTTTTAAACCTAGATCACATCAGGAACTCCTTGGGACCTCGGTCGCTGCAGTTGTCAGACGTGAGGCTGGTGGAGATGAGTGTGCTCCTAACATCCAGCGGACCAAGGGCTCAGTACTGCATGAGTACCAAAGACACACGAACATGAGCTGCAGGGAACAGGTTGAGCTCCTGGGCCTGGTGACTTGGCACTGACTTGGCTCGCTTGCTAAGCACAGAGATCATCTCTGTGGGTGGGTATGGCAGGATGAGTCTTGCACAAATACTGTGCAGAGATGAGATGCTGGGGAGGGCAGATGGTGCCAGGGAGAGGGAGGGGATCAAATTCAGGCAGGGTCCTGGCAGGACTCAGGAGCACCCTGCTATGCAGCAATGTCCAAGAGCAGTGCACGAGGGCCAAGTCCAGAAGTCAGGCCTCCCTGAAAGGCAGCGAAACCTGCCCCAGCCCTGCCACTTGGCTCATGGAGCGCCTCATTCCAAAGCTGAGGCAACAGGTGACTCTGATGGGTTGGGGCTGGGGCCGCTGCAGCAGGGGCTGCTCCAGGTGGCAGCAGGGACACACCTGTGCAGATCACACTACTGGCCCCCTCCTGCTTACCTTGGAATCTGCGTGGGAGCCGCCGTCCTGTCCTACAGCATCTAGGTCGGTCACACCTCGGCTGAATTCCAGGATATCGCTCCCTGGGAGTGGGACCTCCACGGCATCTATGTCGGTCTCCTCCGCGGTGGCTGTGGAGGTCCTCTCAGCTCCAGTGAGCTGGCGGCCTGCAGGGATGAGAGACGAGCAAGGAAGGGAATGGTGACACCAAAGCCACACCCTCTTTGCCTAAAACAAACCCACAGTTATGCCAAGCCCAGGAGAGCCACCAGTTTCCTGCCATTGTCACCTTTTTCCCAAAGGGCATTAAATCATGTTCTTGACCCAGTAAGAGACTCTCAGGGTCTCTTTAAGGTCCAGAAACCAAGGAGCGCTTCCTCAAACCTGGTGTGACAGCTCTGCCCAGTTGGCATGTGTCTGTCAATGGAGGAGGGGGAATGGAATCAGGCAAGAGTGCAGAGATGTGGAGACCTACCCCCAGCCAGGCCCCCAAGAAGCTGCTGGGTAAGGAGCAAACCAGGCATCTCCTTGAGCCCCAGCTCCTTCAGCTACAAGACGAGGGGCTCAGGGAGCCAGAGATGGAGTTCCAAGACAGAGGAATCAGGCCAGGGAGCACTGACCCCTATCCTAACACACATAAGTCTCTCAGCCTCAAAGCCTGGCCTGGCTCCTTCTACCGGGCCCAGGAAGAGGCCTGCAGGGGACAGTAAAATCACATGTACCACATACCTGTATGAAAAGCCTATTATTTCGTATTTTACTTTGGTCCTTATTCTTCTCTATTTCTTAGACTCTAAAAATATTTGACAATTCCCAGGCATTTCACAGGAAATATTTTCTTGTTCTATCTTTGGGATTGTATTCATCACTGTTGCCTTAAAGATTTCTTAAAGGTTTTCTAAGACCAAAGCACCACTTGTAAAACGGAGCAGGCTAATGCAAGCAAGAAAGGAGAGGAGCTGAGACCCCAATCCTGCAGCCAAGCCAGGCAGTCAGAAGAAAAACTGTTCTAAGAAGTCTTCCTATGCTAACCCACACAAGTCATCTGGGGAAGTGGGCCTGGTGTTTAGAGATGGGATGCTGGGGAGGGCAGATGGTGCCAGGGAGAGGGAGGGGATCAAATACAGGCAGGGTCCTGGCAGGACTCAGGCAGTGTTCTTGGTTTTCCTGCTGGCTGCTCCAGGCACCGGGGAGACAGCCCTGTGGAGGGGTGCAAAGGTGCTTAACAGAAAGAATGGCCCCGGTGGTGCCCTGATGGGGGCAATTCTCCCACTGCTTTGTGAACCAGCAGGCAGAGAGTGGAGGAAGCAGCCTGTCTCCCACCACTCTCCCACATCCAGTTGGCTCCTTGATGACTAGGGGTTTAGCCCGAGACACAGCAGATGGATAGATAACCCGAGCATGGTGCTGGGCACTAAGTACCTGGTTCTCCCTGCCTGTCCAGGTACAACAGGGTGAGGGAGATGCCATCTCTCTGAGCAGGAGGGCGTTCCATCAGCCTCCAGCAGGTGCTGGGCTTCTGCAGCACTCCATGCTTCTACATCCCCAGGCACTCAGCACCTGGTGCTGAACACACCTGGCCACCTATTTCCCCTTCTTGTCTTGGGGGCCAGGACTGTGCCTCATTTACCTGTTTCCTCGGGACATGGCAGAGCGAAGGTATCCTATATGTGTTCACATGACAGGGAGCAGGCTGCAGGCAGGGCTGCCCTCCCATGCCCCCATTCCTGGAGATCCAAATGATGAGGACTAAAGGGCCTTGGGCACAGAGGGTTGGACACGCCCCTGCCAGGAGCCTGGGTGTGATGGGAAGACTTCTCTGCTCTAGCCCTGCTTCTGCGGCAGTCTTGAAAGGACACGCTGCTCAGCCATTCTGTTTGTTCTGGCGCGGCTCCCTGCTGCAAGCTGCAGGAACTCACTGCGAACCACAGGACTGCTTTCCTGAGCCCCCGTGGTGCCCAGAGGATCACATCTGGAGTCCTGTCTCAGACTTAACATAGCGTACATGTACAGACTGGAAGAGCAAGAGCTACAGGTGGGGAGGACAGAACGACAAGCTGGATGGAGGGTCCTCACCACCCCACTCTGTGTGCTGGTCAGCCTATCTGATGAAAGGAGCCCTAGAGGAGAGACCTGCAGCAAACGGCCTTCCTCGGGTCTCATCAGATGAGGGAGGAAACCTGATAGCTACAACTGTTCTAGCGCTGAGAAGTCCAAGGGGCAAGAAATGGCATGGCATAAAAAAACCGGGAAATCAAGAAAGCTGATAATGTGGGGCACCACAGCTTCCAAACTGAAACAGAGGTAAGGTGCTTGGTCAAACTAATTCTACCTGATGCAGTCAGCAGCAATGAGAAGTCACCTTCATTCAATAAGCACTTATTAAACACCTTGTCTGTTACAGATATCTATTAGACACTGTGCAGAATCCATGTTCTCAGGGCATCTCCGGCCTGATGGGCACACAGACAGGAGCCACAACTGCAGCCTAGATCCTAGGTGTCACCCATGAGGGAGCCAGCCAAGGTGTGGGGCAATAGAAGGACACTCCAATGCACAGAGGTCAAAGACACCTGTGCAAAGGAGAAGACCACACCTGAAGAAGGGGCATCAGCCAAGCAGGGGAGGCAGCAGGTGGGCAGCTGGGGAAGGCCGGGGAAGGTGTCCTAAGCAGATGCCAAGGCAGGTGCAATGACAGAGAGGCGTGGAAATGTTTGGCACACTGGGCACACCCCATGTGGCTCCTGGGGGACCTGACCAAGAAGAGGAGAGACTTTATCATGGAGGAGTGAAAGCAGGTAACACCCAAAGAGTTTCTTTCCTTCCTTCCTTCCTTCCTTCCTTCCTTCCTTCCTTCCTTCCTTCCTTCCTTCCTTCCTTCCTTTCTTTCTTTTTTTTTTTACAGGCAGAGTGGACAGGGAGAGAGAAAGACAGAGAGAAAGGTCTTCCTTTTTGCTGTTGGTTCATTCTCCAATGGCCGCCGCGGCCGGCACACCGCGCTGATCCGAAGGCAGGAGCCAGGTGCTTTTCCT